ATTTATTGATTTATTTACTGTATATTGCTGCTGCCACACAGATCTAAAATAAACATGCTATTTATTTCCCAGCTGTTTACCTTCACATACATAACCGACTGTTTTTGTAACTCGTGTGTTTTTAACGTAAACTTGTGTGTGAATGAGAACTTAGTTTAGTACTCACATGCTGTGACAGCCACTTTCTGTCCGTGTGCTTCGGATGTGTGATCTCAGAAAACCGTATATCTGAAGTTTAAACTCATATGGTTTAAAACGCATGATTTCAGCGCGATAAACATAATCAGAACCAAAACAGATTTTTTTTTTTAGATACGAGCTGTAATGGCGCAGCTCTATTCTGGAAAAGGGGGCGGGGGACAGCAGCTCATTTGCATTTAAAGACACAGGCCCGAAAAACAGCTTGTTTCTGCTTCCACTCAAAATAGGCATTTTCAAAATTCTATAATAAATGATCTGTGGAGTATTTTGAGCTGAAACTTCACAGACACATTCTGGGGACACCAGAGACTTATATTACATTTTGTAAAAAGGGGCATAATATGTCACCTTTAATACCTTTTATAATTTACATCCTATCAGTGCCAGTCCTTAAATAATTGTAAATATCATCTACTCCAACAGAGCCCAACGATGAGAGCGGAGCAAACGTGGACGCCTCAAAGATGTGGCGTGAGGACAGAGAGCAGTTCAACCGACTAGCTAAGCAGATCGTGCGCAAATCTCTGGGCCTCTGACACACTCTCACACTCCAGGACAGTGAGGATTGACATTTACAAGAATCAAACTCCCCACAGAAGAGAAGAGTGTCTGTGCTGAGTGTTGTAGTGTACTACCCCCTACCTCCACCAGTGTGAGCACTTTATTCCCATCCAGGCTTTCATTCTCTCTTCCCAGTCCTCCCCTCTCCTGTGATTGGGTGGATGCGTTGGACAAATGGCTTTTGATGAAGAAGGCAAAGCGACATACATTCACCGGACAGTGTTCTAAAAGAGAGCCAAGCATCATTCACTGAATAAGTACACAAACCAGTTATTCACAGCCATTTTGGGCTGCCGGTTTGTCTGTCATGCCTGTTACCTGTCCATAGTTAAGCAATGGAATGCAGCTTCGGTTTGCTGACAGTATGCTGATGCATACTTTAATGCCTCATTCTAATAAAATGCATCATGAGGCAGTGACTGAGACTATCACATCCACTTACAGATTCTATTAATGATCTTTTAGAAATAAGGAAAAAGATCATGTCTATGGATGCAAATTTAATAAATGTTCTAATTAAATACATTTGATTACATTTAATATGAAAATGTTTTGAAATTTGGTAATGCACAGATAGGTCAGTGGTTTTCACTGTGGCTTTTTACTTTTATGGAGGTTTTTAGATTCAGTAGTAACAAGCTGGAATCATCCAGCCTTCGGCAGAAAGACAGACCAAAATAATTGTTGGATTTACACCGTCATTACTTTCATTAAAAAAATCGTTCAATTCTGTATTTGACTTTTTGCTTTTCATCTGTTCTCAAGGATTGTAAAGCCAATAAAATCAATAAATGTTTGTGATTTATGAACCCCTTCAGTTATTTTTATATTAATGTGCACAAATCTGTAATTGCTTCCTGTACACTTTTGATGTTGCTTTAGCGCACATGGGGAAAAAAATTGTGCATTAGAAGGCAAATGTCAAATATGTGGGGGAAAAAAATTGCAAGGTTGATTAATTCCTACAAGATAATTTAGTAGTAGGGTAAACTGCCAATTTACTACCAATTTGGGGAAATGATGTATTTCATTTCAGCTTAGTTTGCTTTGACAAAACTCATTTGACTTGCCATGTAGAACTTTTTTTTTTAAAGCACAAAACTATTTAAAACACTACTGTTCAAAGGCTTGTAAGATTTTTTTTAATGTTTTTGGAAGAATGCTAACCAAGGCTATGTTTTTTAAATTCAAAATACAGTAAAAACAACAGCATTGTGAAATATTTTTACAATTTAAAATAACTTTTCTATTTTAGTATATTTTAAAATGTAATTTATTCCTGTGATGCAAAGCTGAATTTTCAGCATCATTACTCCAGTCTTCAGTGTCACATGATCATTCAGAAATCATTGAAATATGCTGATTTGGTGCTCTGGAAACATCAGCATCATTACTCCAGTCTTCAGTGTCACATGATCTTTCAGAAATCATTGAAATATGCTGATTTGGTGCTCTGGAAACAGTTCTTACTGTTATCAATGTTAAAAACAACTGTGCTCCTTAATATTTTTGTGGAAAGCATGATTTTTTTTTTTCAGGATTCTTTGATTAATAGAAAAAACTTTTGATCAATCTGATGTGACCTTGCTGAATAAAACTATTAATTAAAAAATAGAAAGAAAAGGACAAAAGAAAAAAAAACGTATTGAACCCAAACGAATGTCAGTGCACGTGATCACAGAACAATTTTCCAGTGAACTCGAGGTGGATATCAAACGTGTTTGATTTGGCGACGCTCAATCAGGATTTGCAGAATCTGACCGCAGCAGAGGCTGGATTAACTCTTGTTATTCTTAATGGCGTATCAGCTGATGGGGCTCATTATAGGACAGCTGCTTCCCTGTATCTGCTTCACCATCTGCATATAGAGACCGCAGGTTGCCTTTATTGACAGCGCTATGAGAGCTGTTCTTCTGAACGGCGATCACCTCCCACACATTACTGTAATTGAATGTCAAATATGATGACTTTGCTGTCATTGCTGACAAAGCAGCTATGCCTCTGATCAGCTCCCACATACGCACCTACTCTCACATTCGCTTTCTTCAGATCTCTCTCATGTCTACACTGATGAATTCCCACACTAACTGCGTGGACATTCACACAACACAAAATGAAATGAAAACTACAAATGAAAATGTAATTAATACATTTAATGTAATTGTTAAATTAACTAAAAATATAACTGGACACAACTGAAACAAAATATGGTTTCAAAACTAACTAAACTAAAATTAAATTATTTTTTTAGTTTGGTGATAAATGCATGCTATAAAACTTTTACAAACAACTTGGATTAAACATGAAAATGGCAATAAATAGCAATAATACGACCATGCTGTTACATTTAAATCCTTTTTTTATGATATCAGTTAACACTTTTGGCAACCCTAAAATACTAAGACCAAAATAATGATATGCTGAAAATGAACAAAAATAAATAAAATGTATTAAAAATTTATAAATAGAAGTATATATATATATACAGTGGGTACGGAAAGTATTCAGACCCCTTTAAATTTTTCACTCTTTGTTATATTGCAGCCATTTGCTAAAATCATTTAAGTTAATTTTTTTCCTCATTAATGTACACACAGCACCCCATATTGACAGAAAAACACAGAATTGTTGACATTTTTGCAGATTTATTAAAAAAGAAAAACTGAAATATCACATGGTCCTAAGTATTCAGACCCTTTGCTGTGACACTCATATATTTAACTCAGGTGCTGTCCATTTCTTCTGATCATCCTTGAGATGGTTCTACTATATATATAGGCTTTTTTCATGTTTATAATGTATATATTTTATATAAATATATAAAGTGTATCCCAAAATATACCAGCAGTGGTTCTCAACTTCAAGACCCAGATTTTAAATCAAGCATCAAGTGGAGACCCAACTCTATCAAAATTGTGTATTAGAAGCATTTTCTTAATTCTGCTAATATTTTGCTATCCTAATGACACAGTTATATTTATTATTAACATTTTATTTCCTCTGCCCGCAATCCTATCAAAACAGACTTGTAACTCCACTGAACAAATCAAAATAAGAACAAGACTGTGTCCATCTCTTCTGGAATCTCATCAATGGAAACACAAATCTTGCAGTTAGCTGCTGAGTTTCCCTGTCTAAACATGTCTGATACTTCACACACAGTGCTGATAATGAAACATAAATGGAGCTCAAAGCACAGCTCAGCCTCAGGGTCAGACGTGAGACCACAACAGCTTTCAAAGAATTAACATGACACACAACTCTCTCTATCACTCCCTCCTCTCTGCATCATGCGGCAAACCACTCCTGAACAGTTTCATCTGAAACAGGTTCACTAGAGTCCCATTTGTTGTTCACCCAACCGTGAGACTGACATCAAAGCTGATCTGCATCAACCAACAGAACTCTAGTTAATTTGTAATGAGTCGTCTTATTTACATTTGATTCCATATATGGTTCCCAGGATGCTTTTGTAAAGTTTTATGTACACTTACAAGAACTCACCCACTTAACCATGTCTTTGACATTGGGAGGGACCTTTTTTGAGAGGTTGTGTTCTATATTTAAAAGACTGGTCTTTTTTATTTAAAGGAATTAAAAAATTAAAGGATTTAAATGGATTATGGGTATAAAGAGAATGAATTAAGAACATTAAAAGAATTTTTTTTTTGTAATCAGATTTAATTGTTTGCAAATAATATTATTTTAAAATATATGTCCATCTGATTTTATTTGTATGCCTAATATGTTCTAAATGGAGAAATGCTTCTTGTCTCATTACATTCAATTATGAATGACATGAATCACATATATGACAGCCTATATTTCTAATCCAAAACTAAATTGAACAAAACATGTCAAGTATTTTGTTCTCCAGCTACTTACAGTCTTTCACCATTAAAAACTTAAGTGCTGCACTGGAATTACTTTGCTGTTAAACAGATATAAATATTACTTTTGATCCAATATTGGGGTGGTTTTTTATTGGGGGTGACAATTTGGGCATGTAAAATTAAAAATTAAACTTAAATAAAAAAAAGGTCAAATATTGTCAAATATCAAACTGGGCATGATAATTTCATCATTAAAAGTGTAATGACAAAAAAAAAACATTTTTTTTTTGTTAAAATATTGAATATTAAATTGGGGGAGACAATTTGACCGTTAAAAGTGTAAAGATAACAAATGTAACTTTAAAACATTTTGTCAAATATTGCCAAATATGAAATATTGGGGACAACAATATGGCCATCAATGTATCTTTCAAAACTTCTTGTCAAATATTGGAGGGCAACAATGTAGCCATTAAAGATGTAAAAGTAAAACATAATTTTCAAAACTTTTTGTCAGATATTGGGGGTAGCAATCTGGCCATCAAAAATGTAAAACTAACTTAAATCTTTGTCAAATATTGTCAGATATCAATTGGTGGTGACAATTTGGCCATCAAAAAATGTAAAAACATAAAATAAAAATTAAGATGTAACTTTGAAAAATGTTAAATATCAAACATCAAATATTGTCAAATATCAAACTGGGGTGGACAATTTGGTCATATCTTATTATTGGTGGAGACTTGTCCCCCTCAGTGTCTATGGTGGTTATTGCCCTGCTTCTTTTCTTCCTCTTCCTAAATAGTAAAGTCTTCAAAACTATGAAGTAACACAAGCTGAAGTATATGAAAACATAGGCACTGAAACACGGTTTTGTTATAAAGGGCTGTCTCGGAAGTCTGTTATGGACTTTCCTCAATTGGGATTCAAATTTCATTAGCCTATCTTCTATAAATATGCATGTTAGGAAGGCAGGATTCTGTCCGGAGTTCATGAACGGGCAGCACAGTGCTTTACATATTACAAGTGAACTGTTTGTCAAAGGCCGTTGTGCTGCTCACAAAGGAATTTCAATTGCTGTGTTCCTCCCCTTATAACATCCCTAATGTTCCTTCTTTTCTGCCAGCTTTGATGTGAAAAAGACTTTAAGTGACAAAGGTGAAGTGGGGTCAGGTGAACTGCATGCTGGTCTTTAGCCTCAGATGTTGTTTAGATTAGCTCACAAACTATTAGCAAACCCGCTATTGTAGTGAGTGATCATGTATGTTTTGTCTTGAGTGGTCTGCTGTATTTGAAAGATTGCTAAGCCAAGCATCACTATTAATATTGCTCAATTTTTTAACTATAAGTAGACTGTGTTGAAGAACCCTAGCTGCAATACCTGCCTCACTAATTAGTCAAACCCACATAATTTAGCCATTAGTGGGTTGTGCGTCTCAAAAAGTACCAGAAGAGGGAGAGACCGAGAGACCGAAAACAGCTGCTGGGGTGTAACAGACATGAATGATACCTCAAATCAAGCAGCTTGTTGAGAAGAGGTGTGGTTAAATGATTATTTTTAAGTGATCTGGACTTGCCATTTCTTCACAGTGGATAATAAAACCAAACTATTTTATATTTTGACTTCCTGTTCCTGTTGCCACATGGTTTGGAGATCAGTTTGAACCTTGAAATCATTCATCTTAATTCACAATTCTTATTTTAAAAAAAGAAAGACATTTAATTGTAATCTATCGTAAACTTCATTTTCAATTTTTCATACTTAATCACAAATATTTAATTAAAATCTTAAACTCTAAATTTAATTTGCAAAAAGTCATCTTTAGCTATCCCTGCTTGCACTTCAAATTGAATTTGTAATATTTAAATTGTACAAAATGTATGATGTTTAGAAAAAAAAGAAAGCATGAAAGTCCACTTCTAAAGCCCCTAAACCAACTGTAATTGAGCTTAAGCAAATTGTATGAAAAGATAATATTATGAATTCACACCAATATATATATATAGGAATATTAAGAAATAACATATTTCTGGACCACAAAACCAGTCATAAGGGTCAATTTTTTGAAATTGAGATTTATAAATCACCTGAAAGCTGAATAATTAAGCTTTCCATTGATGTATGGTATTGTTAGGATAGGACAATATTTGGCAGAGATACAACTATTTGAAAATCTGGAATCTGAGGGTGCAAAATAATCTAAATATTGAGAAAATCGCCTTTAAAGTTGTCCAAATGAAGTTCTTAGCAATGCATATTACTAATCAAAAATTACGTTTTGATATATTTACAGTAGGAAATTTACAAAATATCTTCATGGAACATGATTTTAATATCCTAATGATTTTTGGCATACAAGAAAAAATCTATAATTTTGACCCATACAATGTTTTTTTTGGCTATTGCTAAAAATATACTCAAGCGACTTAAGAATACGGCTTTGTGGTCCAGGGTCACAAATGTAACTAATGTGAACGTTGAAATGAACTTGTTTCATAACTGATAAACTTTGCATATTGAACTGAACTGACTTGAGCTATTGACTTTTAAGATCTGCTTTGCAGCACAGTTTGAATTTGTCTCATTTGATGAAGTTTGCATAATTGATTCTGTCATTTTCCTGTTTATTACTGTGAAGCTGCTTTGAAACAATCTGTATTGTATAAAGCGCTACATAAAGGTGACTTGACTTGAAAGTAATTAGGTTTGCACTTACAAATTATGGCCAATTAATTCAAAATGTGTTATAAATATGTTAAATATGTTAATATACAATGATGCATCTCAAGTAATTTATCTTGCAAAAAAAAATTTGGAACAATAAAGAAAGTAGTTGTTTGCTGTGTAACAACAAATTTTTTTAAGATGTACACTTACATGTTGGTAAGGAGAGTTTTGAGTGCAGATCAGCAAAGGTCAACGAGAAAAACAAAAAACAAAGTGAGACTGAGAACCAGATCAGGGCACAGAGAGGGACTCCACCCAGAGGCAGAAAATAAAACAGAAAGAGAGAGAGAGGGAGGGAGGGAGGAGGGTTATGAAGCAATGAAATACTGAGATTAGGACCGCAGGAAATCTCTCTCTCTCTCTCTGTCTGCCTTTCTCTCAGCCCTCTGTACCTCCTTCTGAGCCCCTCCTCTCGTGTTGACATGGTTTCATTTGAATGTCTCTCTAAATACACCGCTTTTGCCCCTTGAGCTCTCAGTTGTAGTTGTGATCTGTTAACATGCTCCTCTGACCCTGCAGGTGACAGGTGAATTAACTGCTGCTTTGTGGACGCCTCTGCGCACCTGAGCAAAAGGGAAGAAGACAGGAAAAGCACAGGCTTGTGGATGTTCAGGACTTTGATTACAGCTTTCAGACTCGTTTGACCTGCTTGTTAATGATTAACATTTAAGTGGATGAGGAAGGACATTTCTGAGAAGAAATACAGAAGAACAGTTTAGTTTGTATTGTGTATTGAAACAGTACCCAGTGCTTGCTATTTCCATGTATTTGTGATTTTTTTTAAAGAAATCACTTCAAGAAGCTAATGGCTCATTGGCGTTGAACTGATTCTTTTATTAAAATTAAACAATGATGGACAGACCCTATTCTGGACAGTCCAAGGAACAAAGAATACAGAACATAAAGGCATCTTGACCAGCAGACAACTTTATGAATTTCATGTTTTGGACATTTTTGTGGCCAATCAAGAGTTTGTAAGGACATTTTTATCGGCAAATCAACAACTAATGGAAGGACAGCATAACTTGGTGCCATCATCATGGCTACTTGCACTGCAGTTGTTTCTGCTGCTTCTGCCACTGACGGAGAGTGTGACCGTAGTACCATGGAAACCCTGTACAGGTGAGATACCACACATAACCCTGCTTATTTGCTCTCTAATTACCAGTATTCTCAATGCAATAGCTTCTGTTTGTTGTATGACAACAAACTGTTAATCTTTAAAGCACTGGTACTACAATCTGTTTATCTCTCTATCAAGTCAAGTCAAGTCTGCTTTATTGTCAATTCTTCCACATGTACAGCACATACACACAGAGAATTGAAATTGCGTTACTCTCAGACCCTTGGTGCATACAGATAACACTAACAGTAGAACATAAATACAGATAGATACAGAAACTCTATCAGCAGACACTAAGAAAAAGTGACTTCCTAAGTAATAAAATCCTTCAGATTAAGTCAGGTCCAGATTGTAAAGATCTTGAATGAAACTGTAAATCCTCAATCTGAGTGTGGATTGTGTGTATAGAAAAGTAGTTATTCAACTATGGATACTAATTACCTTCATGTCATTCACAACTGTGGTGAAAATTACAATGGAAGTTGTATTTTAAATATTTGTAAATTAAAATGTCAAACTCTTTTGTTTGAAAACTATCTATGAGAAACTTTAAGAGCTAGAATTGTATTTATACTAATCACACCTAATTAGATGATATTTGTACACTCTTCACATAATTATTAATAATTTATTTCACTGACATGTTTGTGCCCTTAGTAGCCAGTTTTTAAACTTTTGTTATGGTGGAACTTACATGGCAGGACAGTCACAATTTCATTTTCAGACAATAGAAATCGAATTCGTCATTATAACACATTCTAATTGATCATGTGTCATGTGGACCACCACAATGTCACTTAAAGGGATAGTTCACCCAAAAATAAAAGTACTGTCATCATTTACTCACCCTCAAGTTTGATCCAAACCTGTATGAATTTCTTTCTTTAGCTGAACATAAAAGAAGATATTTTGAAGAATGACAGTAACCAAACAGTTGCAGGTCCCCATTGGCTTCCATAGTATGGAAAAAAAATACTGGAAGTCAATAGGGAACAGAAACTGTTGACTTACCAACATTCTTCAAAGTATCTTTTGTGTTTGGAACAACTTGAGGGTAAGTGAATGATGACAGAAATTAATTTTTCGGGTGAACTATCCCTTTAATAGAAGAAATTAATGCTTACTAATTTGTAAAATTCATGCCACACAAATGCTTTCACTATGAGAGATGGGCAGCTTCACAAGACTGGTGGTGTATCCATGTTGTCATGCTGATTCACGGCTTGGTCTCTACAATGGAAAAATGTAAAACACTTCCCAAACCCGGCGACATCCCTGGGGCTTAAATTCTCCCATTTTCATACCACGAAGGCAATTACATTAGATACCAATGCAAAAGAAATGAGAAAATGAAAAATGCTAATATGAAAAAGAGTTTACCAGAAGATTACCAAAGTAAATTCCTTCAAATATTGCTTTTGTATGTCAAGAGCAAACCATATAATGGTCCATAATTAGGGCAATGAGCTCAGCTGAAGGACTGTTATTACAATAGAAGCTGTAAATACCACAATAACGTGGATGAACCAAAGAATGTTGAGAATGTTTAGGGAATTGCAGTACTGTCACTGAACATCTAGATGACATCTCTTTGTCATCAGTGTGTGTGTTCTCATTTGAAGCATCCAACACATTTATTTCTAGTTTGGAAATTAAGAAAGTAAAACATATACGAGAGCATCAGTTGAAACTTATGCTGTCATTAAATGTATACTTACGTCACTTTGCATATTTTAGACCTTATTTTTACCTTTAGTATGATAGGACAGATCAAAGCTGACAGGAAGCGAAGTGAGGGGCGGGGGTCGGAAAGGTCCTTGAGTTGGGATTCGAACTCGGGACACCCGTAGCGCAGTATATAGTAATATTCCATCTCCCCCTCTTTTCTCTGTATATTTTGCATGGAAGGCAATTTGCATACTTCGGAAGATAAACTATATCAAGAGCTATTCCCATCTGCAGATGCAAAAATACAATGGCCACCAAAAGTATTCAGATTCATAAGCCACATGAATGGATTTCATAGCCTTCCTGTAGCTTAAACTGATAGCAGTGCCAAGGTCATGGGAAAGCAAGAAGTGATCAAATGTGTACCTTAAATGCAATGTAAGTCACTAAATAAATGCAAAAACCGCCTGCCAAACACATAAATGTAAACAGTATTTACATAATGTATAAAATCTAATGCTATTTATTTTAAAGAATGATGGCACATTCATGCCATTTCAAAAAGAGATTTATTTTCTATGGTCAAAATGAACAAAATAATTTGGGACACTTACTGGTTGTCAAACTTAATGGAATTAAGGTAGTCTGCAATACCTGGAGAAATCCATCCATTAGTGTTCCCATTTTGAATGGCGTGTTATTCAGTTGGCGCAGACAAACTCGGAAGTATGGAAAGTTCTTGCTCCCATCTTAGCTAATGGCCACTCAATTCTAGGCACAGAAGTTTTAGAGTCAATCACCTGAGAAATAAAATCATAATTACAACCACAAGGAAAATATTGTCCTGACAAAGCTGATTGTTTGATGATTGTTTGGAGGGGCTAACTGGACCATGTGCTAATGCTAAACCTTGTTTCCCGCATGGGGTCCTCAATTTCATGTTTCCTCAACTCCTCTCTCTCTCCAGATCTCCGTCCAGTGGACCTGTTGTCTCGGGTGCTGCCCCATAACGGAGAGGCTCTGTCTGGGGTCCGAATGGTGCAGGAGGGAGGCGCTCGTGGGGTCCAGTTCTTCAGTCCTACGCAGGCACTCACCTTTCCATCGTCTCAGCTCTTCATTAACTGCCCTCTCTTCCCTGCAGAATTCTCCATAGTGGCCACTGTAAAAGTGTCTCACACCAGAATGAAGGTATGCTTATAATGACATCTAATGCACAGATCGGCAAAGGGTCAGAACCATGTGTCCAAGTCAACTATTAAATAAGTCTCAAAATTGGTAAATTGTACAATTTTTATTTGAGAAAAGATATTTTACTCCAAACTCAAGCAGGGTTGCACTCTGGTGCATTGTAGTCATGTGATCAATTCACTAGGACTCAAATCTTCCCTTATCTTTTGAGATAGGACATGCCGCAAAAAAAGAAAGAAAAAAGTATATATATTAGTGCTGTCAAACAATTAATCGCATCCAAAATAAAAGTTTTTGTTTATGTAATATATGTGTGTGTACTGTGTATATTTATTATGTATATATAAATACACACACATACAGTGTGTATTTTTTAAATATTTACATGTATATAATTTATATTATATATAAATATAAAATTTTTCTTAAATATGTACATGCACGTGTGTGTATTTAT